ACAACAGTCAACAAGTAAAACTGCACAATAGCGAAGGCTCTCTATTAAATCTTCCTTCAGAGAGAGTGTTAATAAAGCGTAGTGGTAGTGAAGGATGTCAAACATCCCGTGTTTCCCTTCTGCATGTGAACACAAGTTTCTCTGGAGAGCTGATGCTTTAAGGACTTGGTTGTTTCTTTTCAGTTTGGGAGAGCATCTCCTTTCTACAATAATGCCTTGCTAATGGAACCCCAGCTTGAGGCCTCTGGGTTGGTTTGGTTTTGTTTGTTTTTACACCGTTCTCATCTCAAACTTTTAGGGCATTTTGGGTCTGGCATTCACACCTCAATAACCTGCTTTAGTCAGCTTTTGGGGAGCTTTAGTTAAACTGTGAAACTGTTCCTCAGCTGTACGTGTTGACATTTCTTCGTGTGATTTGATGTTGCACAGTGAGGACCTGGTTATTATTGTCACCTGAAAGGAAAAATCCCACTCAGAGTGGTTATCAACAGAGGGAGTCAGGGAGAAGGTTGTAGCTTCAGTTGTCGGCAGCCCCATAGATTTTTAGTAACTGAATAGTAGAAGTGGGTATCCGGGTTGAGTCCCATCATTGCAGGCCCAGGTGAAAATGCTGATGTGAATCCATAGACCTCTGCCCAAGAAACCCTTGCACACCATAACCTGAGCAGTCATCTGGGAGCGACAGCAGGAACATCTTCAGAGAAGTATGGGGGCAAAATAACCAGTCTGTTAATGGCTGTCCTCAAGACAAGAGGCAGCAGCACCAGAAAACAACTGTAGTTCATTGCATAGAGAAACATGGTTTGGTGACCTGGGTGAATGCAGATGGGAATTTCTGTCAGCTAGAATGGAGGTGGTGAGTGTTTCGAAGCTCATAAGGTTCCTTGGGGGTCTCAGGGAACACCTCAGTTTGATCAATCATTTAGAAAGGGGTAAAAACCCTTAATGGGACCTTAGTGTGAGAGAATAATATGAATACAAATTAGAGAACAAAGTCCTTAGTTCCATTATTTATAGAAAAACTGTGTTCTCACCTATCACCTCCTGCTTGGTCCTTGGTGCCTTGTCCGTGTGCAAGTACACATGCAGCCAGGCCATCAGCTGCCACCGCGGCCCGTCGGCAGGGAAGAGCCGGCACGCACCACAGCCAGCCCAGAGCTGTTGGCTGCTGAGCCCAGCAGAGGAGGCAATGACTGGGCCTCCTCTTCGGTGATTGTCATCTTCCTCAGCCTATGAGCTCTTTTTCCAGGAACTTGTAGGAACTTATTGCCTCCAACACTGCTGTCAAATTTGTTCAATATTGTCCTGTTTGGTTCGAGAAGTTTGTGGTGGGAAGGGTTGGCCAGCAGATTGATAGCATGATTGAACAGACCCCATTTACTTAGCAAATGGTGTGTGCAGGAGTCATGCAGTTGGGGGCGGGGGGTATTTACAGCAACTCTTTATGTTTTTATTTTCCTTTATTTTCAGGTATACATTTACAGCATTTGTGAGATTTATGATCAGATGTTGTCTTTGAGCAAAAAGATACACCATCAGTGGGAGGAATCAACATTTGACCAATACTCAGGATTGTAATAGATCGGGGAGAAAGGGTGTTTTTCAGTGTTACTTCTGGTTTTTTTCCATGTGTTTGAGAATGTTTCCCCTTTCTCAGTGGTTTCCTTGTTTGGGCTTTTTGGAAAAAAAAAAAAAAGGGGAAATGTGATTGTGAAATAATTCTAAAGAAACAGATTCCTTTAGATCTGGTTGGCTCCTTGATTTTTTTCACTTTGATACAGATGAATGAACTCGCTTGTGACACTGAAGCTCCTGTGCTAAGTGGTACTCATTAAGGATAGCTGTAAGGACTCCCATATTTGCTATACACAGAGGGCAAAATTAAATACATAGTGGGGTTAGCTTCATTGTTCTAATTTGTTATACAAATAATTTGCAATGCCAAAAATACAACATTTCTACCCCTTTTGGGATAGAAGTAAAGCTAAGCCAGTTGTGATGTTTAAGCAACGTTCACCCTTTATAGGATGATTACTTGTCAGAAGCAAAGCTTGTAGGTATTTCCTTAGAGCCCATCAGCCACAGTAATGCTGCAATATATACAATTTGGATCACCAGAAAATACATACATACCAAAAATTACTTTGGGCAGTTTACTGCAGCAATGACAAAAGGGATGCACGTGATGATAATTTTCATTTTGTACTGTTTTGTCTAAGGATGACGGTGAATTATGCCTCCTAATGCTCCTTTCAAAGATGACATTGTTTTACCTATATTAAAGGTGTTGTGGTTTAACCCCAGCTGGCAACTAAGCACCACCCAGCCGCTCGCTCACTCCCCCCCGGTGGGATGGGGGAGAGAATTGGAAGAGTAAAGGTGAGAAAACTCGTGGGTTGAGATGAAGACAGTTTAATAGGTAGAGCAAAAGCCGCACACGCAAGCAAAGCAAAACAAGGAATTCATTCACTCGTTCCCATCGGCAGGTAGGTGTCCAGCCATCTCCAGGAAAGCAGGGCTCTGTCACATGTAATGGTTACTTGGGAAGACAAACGCCATCACTCCGAATATGCCCCCCCTTCCTCCTTCCCCCGGCTTTCTAAGCTGAGCCTGATGCCGTATGGTGTGGGATATCCCTTGGGTTACTTGGGAAGACAAACGCCATCACTCCGAATATGCCCCCCTTCCTCCTTCCCCCGGCTTTCTAAGCTGAGCCTGGCGTTATGTTGTGTGGGATATCCCTTGGGTCAGCTGGGGTAAGCTGTCCCGGCGGTGACCCACCCCCCAGCTCCTTGTGCCCCCCAGCCTGCTCGCTGCTGGGGTGGGGTGAGCAGCAGCAAAGGCCTTGGCTCTGTGTCAGCACTGCTCAGCAGTAATGGAAACAACCCTGTGTTATCAACACTGTTCAGCACAAATGCAAAACATAGCCCTGTACTAGCTACTGTGAAGAAAATTAACTCTATCCCAGCCAAAACCAGCACATTCTTCACCCCTTATTCCATAACGTTTACGTCATGCTCAGGTCCCACACTATCCAATACATCCTCATTAACCACCACCCCCATTCCCATCCTTTGATATAATACACAGATATCATTCCCCTAGTCTATGGATGACCCCTGTAAAATGTCCACTGAGCTCATTTAGTCTATGATTTGGGCTCCATCTGTTATGGTCGTCACTCAGGACGGGAGAGGTGGTGTGTTACGTGGAGTTACTGGGCACCAAAGCCAGCTCAGGTCAGGTCACTGCTGCACTTGCACTGCTTCTTGTAAGGCTTCTCCTCCATTGGTTCAGGTAGTTTCTGCTATAGTAATCCCTATAACATGCAACTCAAATTGTGGGTTAAAAAAATTTAAAGGTATTTCCATTACAATCTCCACCCCTGGTCCCTTTGGGTCAGGTTATATGGTTTAACATTGCAATGAATGTCTCCCCTTGCCCCTGCTCTGGCTTGGACTTATCCATGGAGTATTGTCCCTTAGAGGTATACCTGCTCCAAGTGGAGCCTTATCTATGAGCCACAGTCTCTCCAGCGGTATACCTGCTGCAGTGTAGACTTATCCACAGCCACAGTCACTTGGAGGTGCACCTCTTGCAGCATGGCCTTATCCATGGGCCACAATGCCTTCAGAGAGGTACCCGCTCCAGCACGGCCTTACCCAAAGCCAGAGTCCCTTCGGGAGTGAACCTGCTCCAACATGGCCTTACCCATGGCTGCAGTCCCTCCAGGGGTGTACCTGCTCTCTTGTGGGCTTACCCATGGCCACACACTTTGAGGTGCTCCAGCATGACCTCATGCACAGCCACTGATGATTCAAGGTGTACCTGCTGCAGAATGGACTCATCCACGGCCACAGATGCTTCGGGGTGTCCTGCTCCCACATGGACTCATGCACAGGTCACAGTCCCTTTGACTCAAGTTCACAGTGGAGTTCCAGCCTGTCCTGTACGGCAGCACAGAAAGAGCAGCGATGCCCTGGCCGTCCGCCAGCCCAGGCACATGGCCATTGCTGTTATCAGAATGTTCCCAGGCACAGCAGAGTAAGATGATCGGCAGTACAGCAAGCAGCGGAAGCAAAAAGCAGCCACTAACGAGCACTAGCCTCTAATACACAGTAAGGCAAGTAAGCCCCATGGCAAGCACAGGAGCCTGTCAGTTAATAGCTAAACAGGAATAACAGCTATAAATTCCATCTATCACATTCTAATCAAATCTGTCATTATCTCAAAACCTTTGAGCCCCATGTTGGGCGCAAAAAAGGACTGCCGTGGTTTAACCCCAGCTGGCAACTAAGCACCACCCAGTCGC